TGTGCAAAGAGAGCGTTTTACCTACTTTTACTGAGGGCTTGCTCATAAGAAGTTAATCGTTTTCATTCTATGGAGCTGTGAGGTCCTGACTTTACAATGTAAATGTGCTGAGATGCCTGTTGTGTGAACTGGCTCTGAGTGAATCCAACCTGTGAAATCAAATTCCATGCGTTTATTCATGTATTTTAATGTGCATGTGAGTTTGTTGATAATTAAATAATTCTGTTATTTATTCTTAATTATAATGTGGCAATGCTGACATCATGCAGCTCAATTGTTTTACTTACACAACAACATTCACCTCAAGGTGCTTTATACTGTAAGGTAGATCCTACAATAATACATAGAGAGAAAAACCCAACAATCACATGACCCCCTATGAGCAAGCACTTTGGCGACAGTGGGAAGGAAAAACTCCCTTTTAACAGGAAGAAACCTCCGACAGAACCAGGCTCAGGGAGGGGCGGGGCCATCTGCTGTGATTGGTTGGGGTGAGAGAAGGAAGACAGGATAAAGACATGCTGTGAAAGAGAGACAGAGGTTAATAACAGATATGATTCAATGCAGAGAGGTCTGTCAATGCGTCACACAACCCTTGGACACAAAGAGGATACTTAGTTCAGCACAAATTGTCTTTACCTACATGAAAACAACAGCGCTCTCCTCCATGCTAATAATGCCAGGGCAGTAAAATGGAGACTAGTGCTTTAAATAGGACCTTTTAGATGGAGAAGGCTCTGGTTGTGTGTGTCTGGGAGAGAGGGTTAGGAAGTAGAGAATGGCTGGGGGTTCACTACTGGAGCCCTGAGAGTCTGACATAAATCAAGTTGCCTGCTTCAGAGTCTATAATGTGTTGGACGCACCTCTAAAGACAGAGATGTGAGGAGGGAATATTAATGCACCTTTTTTTTCTGTACTACACAAAAGAGCAAATAAGGAGATAATACATTTGGATATTGGAAACTGCTTACTTAATGTAAACAGATGTGATGTGATCTAAGTTACGTTTTCTATCTATGTTCTGTTTTATTATCCAAAATTCAGAGACCTAGTGCTCAAGACACAGACAACTTTTTTTCCACTGTGTGAGTCAAGCTCCAGAACCACTAATCAACAATTGACCATAATTAAAAATCACTATGTATTACCATTAGAAGGTATATACATATATTTTGGGTAAATTACAAGTAAAGAATACATCTTTTAGCTATCAGCTTGAGTATCTCATCTAAAGATATTTGGCATAAATACTCCAGTGCTACTGCGGGACAAGAATAGAAAAAAATATAATAAAAATAAATAAATAAAACCAAAACATAAAGAGTAGTCTGCAAAGACGAAGGAACTGTAGACAGAACAAGCTGGTTGACCTGTATCCTGCATCAGAGCTTGCTTCATCCTGCTGCATTAACTAGTTACCTACATGAAGACTGCCATAAGTTTGACTTATCCGACTGCTTTGTTTCACTGAATGCGCCTTATAATCCGGAAAATATGGTAAATCTACCTTCCTTTAGCATGTCCAGAAGTCCAACTTTTTGTGCGATGGTTAGCATCTTCCTCTGCCTCCTGGATGCTACCGCAGGTGCCTTTGTGGTGCAAAACATTTCGTTGTGTTAGTTGGGGAGAAAACTTACAAACATACAGTACAGCACTTCAGAGTCACACTGCTAGGATAGAAGATTTATGTAAATGTCTGTACTGTACAGGAGACACGGCACAAGATTGATTGACAGCGGTCTGGACGCAGAACACAATGTGCTGTTACACAAATTACACAAAAACATTCGCGAAACAGCAAAACCGTAAAAGGTGAACCGTGTTATAGCGAGGGACCACTGCATTCTTAGAGCCCAGTGCTCTCAGTGTATCAAAATGTGTTCAAGTAAGACAACAGAGATGTGGACTAACAGGACTGTTTGTAGCTGTGCACTTTAGTCTACACACACTAGGAAACTTTCTCTAATGGTGCTTCTTCACTCTGCAGGATCTTTCCTTCCTGCTTCAACACAAGATTTTCAGGGTTGACTTGTCAGTTGGAGTTATGTGACTAAAGAATTGAAAGGTGTGGTGCAATGTAAAGAGTTCCCTAACTGATCCTATTTTTAAATGAAATCTGTAAATAACTGTTTAGGAGCTGAAACAAGCTTCAAAAATGAGCTTTATTGTGAAATCAGCTGTAATTATAATTAAAGTGCATTTGTACTGTTTGTTTAACATGTTGCCATGTGATGTTGTTGCTATGGAAATAACTGTGTCCGTGATGCCACACAGTTCTTTAATTTAAGAAACACAACAGAAAACGGTCCTTTCCCTCCTGCTGGTAGGACAGCCCTTTTGCTGCTTGGAGAGGCTGTCCAGCATTAGCTGGAAGGGCTACAATTCCAGGTCCCGCCCCCAGCCCCCTTCCAGGTTTTCTGCTGTCAACAGAACCTGAAACCCAAACCAAGTCTGGTTTTAGACTGCTGCATCCAAATATAAACAACAACACAGATTTCAATCCAGTAAAATAGCTTCACGTCAGGTCTGACCACTGAACAAAGTCCTCTGGTTCAGCTCGCCTCAGTCCAAGCTGGAAGACAGAAGATGGTTTGTAATACTCAGCTGATACCTACTCAAAAAAGAAAGGGCATTTTTTCCCTTCGCTGCATGAACCACCCCGCCTCTCCCAGTGTTTGGGAGGGTAGACCACTCACAGCTTGTCTTTCTCTGGCCGGCGTTGCCAGAGAGTGAAGAGTCTGTTTACCCTCTTATCAGCAAACCCCTGAAGCCTCCTGACTTCCACCAGGGCCTGGGCCAGCTTCAGGACATTTTGTCCTGACTAACCATCAGGACTTTGGACCTCATCCTGAGAGGACTCTTTGGCGCAGATGTGGATACTGGATTGTTCTTTCTTTGTGATATTTTATGTTTAACTCATTAGTTTGGTTTTTGCTTGTTTAGGGGCAGACAGTCTGCAAAGGGGATGGGATCTTCGGGGATAACAGGAGGAGAGAAGCAGCAGAGAGTCGTGTAAGACTGCAACTGGCTAGTTACGGGTTTTATATCAGCTGCAGACACCAGATCCTGTAAGCTGGGTTTGAAGAGGGTACCACCATCAATTCTGTTCAATGATAAGCCGTGGTCTCCCTGAGCTGTCCCTGGGAAACAGCATCACCATCTGTCCAGCACCATCTTTGCATGGTGCTGGACAGATGGTACAATGTGCTCACCTTCTTTGGCAGGGAACAGAAGTGGCTGGAAACTAAGGGAGGCCTCGAAGGGAGGTGATCTGTTGCTGAAGAGGTGAGGCTGTTGCGGGTACACTCTATCCAGCGGAGCTGCTCACTCCAGATGGTCTGAGTTGGTGGATGCAGCACAATGGAGAGCAGCCTCCAGCTCCTGATGAGCCCGCTCTGTCTGACAATTTGTTTGCAGTTGAAAACTCGAGGAAAGACTGACCATAGTGCCCAGAGTGGGACAGAACTTTGGTGCTGCGTGACCCGGATCTTTGGTGTGCTGAGGAAGGCCGATTTGGCCTGTGGCGAGATCGTGAGGCGAGGCGAGCAGAGGACCGGTCCAAATATGATCAAAATGACACAGCTCTGGATGGCCCAGTTACCAGGGCATGGAAGGATGACAGACTTTTTTAAATGAGGAGAAGGAATTTTCTGGGATTGAAGGTCCTCTGGGTGAGTGGTTGACTGAAGCATGCAGAAAATAAAAGCTATCATTTTGTCATTGATTGGTAATAGATGGATAATTAGCCACATTTACAGCTGTATTGACTTGTTGTAGATGCAGTCTACTTCATGTTTAAGGACTTTAATTAACAGATTGAAAACAGCGACATTAAGGGAAGAATATGCAGCGCCACACTATCAGATGCCTATCAGCACCTTTTGTTCCTCCTTCAATTAACTCTCAATCACAGAAAACGCGGAGCTCCGAAATAAAACTTACACCGTTAGTTCATCATTTTCACTCTGTACCACTTCTCCTCATCAGGCTGTGTGAAGCGCAGTAAACAAAGAACCAGTAAAGAACCAAGGATAAAGGAGGACTAGTGCTGTGTCCCAATTCCTAGGCCCAATCCTTCAGAGGACCCAGCCTTCGTGGGCCGGGTCCTTCAAAGACCGATAAGGCCGCGAGGCTGTGAAATGGGATGGTCTAACCTTCTGATTTGCGTCACCGCTGTCTCGGTGGAGTTTAATAAACTCGGCCATGTCCTTTAAATAACTCTACTTGGAATGTGACTCAGTAAACAAGTAAAAAAACAAAAGTCAGGTCCATATATATTTGGACACTGACACAACTGTGCACCCATTTTCTTACCTGAGCTTCATCATGAGCTTTGGGTACTACCAGGAAAAATGAAACCATGGATAGAAGCAGCTGCTGCTGTCACTACATCTCAATATATCCCGTCAAGGAAACGGATTTTGCCTTGACGGGGTGGCTGTAGTAGCTCAGGAGGTAGAGCAGGTCGTTGGATTTCTAGATATGCTAAAGGAAGGTAGAATTACTGTATTTTCCAGATTATAAGGCGCATTAAATGAAACAAAACTCATTCTTCTTACTTCCTCTACTTCCGTACCATTGATTCATTAATGTTGAGTTCTCTATTCCCATTTTGTGGACCTGAAAACAGGGTTTGATCTTTGGTTTCATTCTATAAAACTGGACTTATGTTTCTACGAAGGTTTGAACTTTGAGTGTTTAAACAAGAGAGAAAAGTGTGAAAATGTTTGTGCCTGTATGAGAAAAGTCTATAAAGTGTGAGAAGTTTTACAGCCTTAAAACATCTATAATAGTTGTAAAGAATTAAGTTGGCTACTTCGTGGATTTCACCCATCGGATGTTATTTTTAGAACGAAACTCCCGCGATAAACGAGGGACCGCTGTGTATGATACAGTACTTTGTCGTTGGATCAAAGGGACTGTCTTGCTTTATAAAAAAGACAAAGGACAAGATTACTTAACAGTCAATGTTTAAGAGACAAAAGCACAGACGCTGGCAGTTTTATAAAACGACATTCTTTATTTACAAATTTATATTTTGCAGTAAATGCAAAATTCCTGTAAAAGACTGTTGTACTAAAACATGGTTCTGTAGCCTATAACTGTAAAACAAGTGGGACACAGTGAGCATAAAATACATGCACATATCTGTACACTGTCACCAAAATACATCTGATTACAAAATATAGTGCTCGATACAAATATCTGGAGTTTGGATTCAGCAGATGTCTCAGATTTCACATATGCACGTGTGAAACAATCGTCCTTTGCATTTCTGTATGAAAATAAGGAGCCGTTTAAGCAAAAATAGACTCTGCCTTCTGCCTATTCTTTCACATGTACAGGTTGTGCATCTTCAGTAGCAAATACTCACTATTGGCTGAGGAAGTATTTTTCTCCAACAACAGTAAAAAACAAACAAACCAAAACAATAAAGAAAAACAAACAAAGAAAAGCCTCAAACCAGTGCTTCAGTCTGATCATCAATCCCACATCTTCAAGGTAATGTCAGTGGGAGGAAAGTGAAACACTTGCAGTCAAATGAAGACGAGGAGAAAATACTACGACTATTTGGTCTCAGAGAGAATAATTAGATGGAAACTGCTGCTTCCACCTGGTATGAAGGGTATATCCAGTCTCTGTGAGGTAACGTCAGAGGCAAGACAGTGAATCAAACCAGGACAGGATCTGTACTCACACTACACATGCTCACAAAGAACTATAACTGATGCTACCGGCCCCCAGCATGCGTATGCATTTGTTGATTTGATGTGTGAGTGGCCACATAACTGAGCAGTTGCAGAAACCATGTTTCAGATTTTATTTCAGGACGTGTCACCTCATTTCATGGGTTGCATTTTCATTTTGGGTAAAGCCAGGAAATCTGGGATTCATTCAGTCGGGATTAGGAGAGTACTGATTATCAGTTTGCATATATAAATATATTCTTACAGCAGTCGATCTATACAGCACTTAAATCAAAATTTAAAAATAACTGCATGCTTTTCCTGATTTTAAACCCTAACTCTGAACATAACCTGGTCTTAATCAGTTTATGTGTTTGCACTAAGATGCTAGTGATTTAACCCAGTAAAATAGATCCCCCATGTGTAAGTGTGACTCTGTATCTCAGGTCAGGTCATGCACCAACTGGAAGGTTGTATGCTTAGACATGACACTGAAAACCAATTTGTTCTCCAATAAATGACTGAACTGAATTTTAGAGCTGGTGTGAATGAGGCATGTTGTGCTCCAGTCGAGTGGAAAAGCACTATATAAGAACCAGTCTGTTAATGATGCCGGTATTACTGGAACATGTTTACATCCTCTGGGCTCAAGTAGTGCAAGCCAGCAAGACCAAATTTGTGCTGAGTTTTTCTTAAGATTCTGAAAGCTTCACAGTTTATCATTTATTATTAATAATCCTATTTCTGCATAGAGGTAGGCCCAGAATTAGACAAGAGTTTTTGTAATGCTGCCTCTGTTTACTTCAGTGAATCAAGTGGATTTTAATCAAACAGTCAAGTTATAGATTTTCAGCTATAATTCAAAGGTCTTAACCAAAGTATCGCATCGTGTTTAGGAATGACAGACATGTTCACATGTAGCAGCTCATTCTTCTGTCAACGACAGAAACATGAAACACTTGATTTTATAGATGTTTTTCTAATGAACGCATTAAAGCCATACATCCAAAATAATAAATAATCAAGTATCTAACTCTCAGGCTGTTACTTTCATCCTCTGGGTTCGATCAAGTTAAACTAGCTGTAGAAGCAGTGGCTCATCTGGTGTGTTTGTGGCAGAAGGGAAACTGCATGCCTTTATCATACAGGATGTTAGCAAAATGGTAGCAAGCAAACTTGACGACTTAAACTTTAAAGCACCTTGAGGCAACTGTTGTTGTGATTTGGAGCCATATAAATAAAACTGAACTGAATTGAATCTACTTTTAGAAATATATTAAACACAGGATGGGATGTTCTGCATTGACACCCTTCCTTTCAATACTCAACATCTGGCTTGTTAGCCTTAATGTTCACTCTGCAGAGGTGTGGAGTGCAGCTTTAACTGTTCAGATATCTGTCTGTGACTGTTGTTGGCAACACATTTACATAAAGAATGTCATTTTATAGAGACACACAGATGAGGACAAAAATATTTTCAGTTTGTCTTTTTTGACAGAGCATTGGATTTTCAAAATAGCATTTTTAAATTCTTTAGAAAGCACATATTACTTCTATTTGCACATAAAAGCAGAATCAAAGTTCAATGTAGTTATCCCCCTGACAAACTGACTTTATTGGGCCCCTGCACAAAGCCCCGCTCTGCAAAGATGTGCTTTAACTTCTTATAAAACTGAGAGTCATCTTCTGACTTATACACAGACTTTAGCGAGGGCTCAAGTCGTCAAACATCACACCAAAATGAAAAGAAAGACTTGAGGAGAAGAATGGTTGATGCTCACAAAGCAGGAGATGGCTATACAAAGTTATCACTGGGTTTCAAAACTGGCATAAGAAGTATGATCGAGAAACTCAAGGAGAACCACACAACGCACAAATATAACACGGTAGACGAGGAGGTGAACCATTTCAAAGACTCTGGAAAGGAAACTAGTAAAAGATGTTCTCAAGACCGCGGAACAACTGCCAAGACTCTAGACTTAGCCAAGCTTGGAATCAGTAAAGGACTGCAGACCAAGAAAAAGCCAGACTGAAGTAATCGAAGGAGAACCCTGAGAAAAATGGTGCATGCTGCAAATATGCTCTTTGACCAGATTAGATGAAATTGGAGCGCTCTGGTCACAAAGACCACACACCCCAAGGGACACCATCCCTGCAGTCAAACATCATGCTGCGGGGCTGCTTCAGTGTGTCTGGAACTGGGAATCTTGTCAAGGAAGGAATCATGAAGAAGGATATGTGAAGATGATAAAGCACAACTCAAGCAGTCAGCAGCAAAACTGGACCTGGGTCATCGTTTCGTCTTCCAACACAACAGCCCAAACCATACAGTGCTCGTTGTGAAGACCAAAACAAATACTAACAAGCTGGGGACAATCGTTCCTGCCCTTATCTGTAAATGCAACTGAATTGACTGGCATGCATTGTTTGTGGATTGACTCTTGTAAATTGATATTACTAAAAGAATCGTGAGTAAATCACCCAGCACAGTGTGTGACTTGATTACCAGACTGGATCTAATTTGAATTAAGTCTTCCTACACGAGGCTACTGGACTCTGCACACTATTTTGTATTACTGGAAAATAAAATAATAATATAATCTTCTAGACCTTTCAGTAAAATGTAAGAAAAACCCCATTAATAAAAAGTTCAGGCGCTGTGTTTTGGAACAGGGTGGATCATAACATCAATGTGAAACTGACGCCCAGGCCAGCACTGTTTCTATTCAGCAGTTATACAAATAAACTGGGGTAAGTAATCAAATATTTCACCACACAGCCACATGGAAACTGGCAGACGGTGTGTCTAGTGGTGCCTCCTAAATATTGTAACTGGTTGTGTAGTACTGGGAGCAATAACTACACAACCAGAGTTGTTCACGTTGTTGTGGAGGAATTTCAGCCCATTCTTCTCTGCAAAATTGTTTTAATTCAGACACAATGAAAGGTTTTCGACCACCAACAGCGTTGTTACAGGTCATGTTGCTCACTCTGAAGCAACAAAGCAGCCCTGACAGTTACACCACCACCACCACCCATGTTTGACTGTTGGCATGATGTTATTTGTAGGAAATTAAGTGTTAGTTTTACACCTGATATACTGAGAGGGTAGTCTTCCAAAAGGCTTGACTTTTTGTCTCACAGGTGCACAAACTATTTTCCCAGAAGTATTTGTGGTTGTTTAGGTCAGCCCTCGTTTCCACCTCTGAACTTTCCCACAGAGGCCATTTTTTCCTCTTTTTGTATTCTTCAATGACAAACACTGACCTTAACTGAGGAAAGTCAGGCCTGCAATTCTTTAGATGTTGTTCTGGGTTCTTTTGTTTCCTCCCGGGTGAGTCATTGATGCACTCTTGGTCTAATATTAGTAGGCTGGCCACTCTGGGAAGGTTCACCACTGCTCCAAGTTTCTGCTATAATAGTGAATATCAGGTGTACACGTCGCTTTTTACCTGCCTGGACTGAACAGAGCAATCAAGCACTTATGAGTCAAAGTAGGAAGCAGACAAGGAGATAAGTTCGAGGGAAATGATTTTTCAGTACCAGATGACTGATGCCATCGGGATGATAAACAGAACTGAAAGGTCCTTTGTTCCTTACAATCAGTTCATTCTGCATTTCCCAAAGTGCTTCGCTGCCCTCGACTGACAGCTTCAGGGAGGTAAGGCCGAGACAAAACACGCCACATGAAAAATGTTTGGAATTAGATACGAACAAAAATGACATATTTCACTGACTGAAGATCAATCTACAAGCTTTTCCATACGTAGGACTTATTGCTGAAGGTCAGAGCAATCTACTTTGTCTTCACAGTAAGAGTGCAGCTTTGTGTCTTCAAGTTTTCTGGGTTTTTTGTTTAGTTGTTTGTTTTCTCCAGTCTCACATTAGCTTTAACCTGTGACTGGCTTACTAGTGGACATGAAGCAAGCAGAGACACTGGGCGACTGTACCAGTCTGTCACTAAGAAGAAGGGTCAGGGCACACTGTTGTGTCACAGAAGTCTGGTGCAAACAGCTAAAGCTTGAGTTTGATTGTTGTAACTATTCTCTCATGATTATTCTTAATCATGCACAGGTCAGGTAATAGTTAAACCATAGTATCTAAACCACTTTGCACTTTAATGAAATGTACCTCTGTACATTGCACATTGTGCCGTTCAGGGTTCAATTCAGGAGTTTCCCAGTTGGGGCTTATCATCTTATTAGTCACTGACTGGTCACAGATGCTACCCTCTTTAAAAATACCAGCTGCTGCCAGAGCTACTTATAGATGCACATTTGCTATCAAACCTCCGACCCTGAGGTCAAGGTCACTGAGAATCAAACTCTTTCAGGATTTTTAGTAGACGCACCAACTGCATCAATTTGAAAATCCTAGACAACTTAGTTATGATATAGTTTTTGTGTTCACAAGAGTGTTAGAGAACCTGACCTCGGACCTTGAGGTCACTGAGATTTACTCAAAGCTTCCTGTTTACTTGGGTTTTATTCAGTTTTTGCTGAATGTATTTGTTTGGCTTCAATATGATGTAAAAATAAGTGGTTTACATAATCTGGTTTATTTAAGAGGGCGCCATCAACAGCAACAATCCTGAGTGCTTGGATTTCTGCCTGCTGATGGCGAACGATGGTTAAAACAGCGACAAACCTTTTGTCCTTTGGGCATGTACTGGTGACTAATTTCAGCAACACTGACTAGCTCTTGTTTGTAGTAAAGCGTGTTCATATTGCTTGCTTCTCTCTTAAATTATGCCCAACGTGTTGGGGTTTGATTTAGTTGAAGCTAAATTAAATGAGTCCTATTCAGTCTGCACACATACGATGTAGGAAAGTCTAAGAAATCTCATTTTAAACAGAGACTAGATTACAAACTGGAACCTGCCGTGGAAAACTGGCACAAAAGTGAAAATAATTAGCAACTGACGTGAGCAACTTAGCAATCGCTCTGCACATACACAATATACAACGGACTATTTGTTGAAAATATAAATTAGTCATGTTTCTCACAAACAACGAGCCAGGTGAAAGGAGCAGGAAGTACGTTTGTTTCCAACCTGTCCTGTGATGTCAGTGAGGTGATTGCAGCCATCGTAATAATGAAAACATGAGGTGCAGCAAAGCAGACTCACAGGAAACGAGTCAGACCGAATGGAGTCCATCACAGAGTATACTGTGGTACCTTATCACAGAGATGTACCAGCATTCTAAGGACAACTTGCTCATCTGTGTTATGTCAGTTCTGCTGCACTATCCTGTATCTGTGTGGCAGTGTAGGACACATGAGCTGTCTTTGGAAATCGACTGTCCCAGTTTATTCTCAGCTTAGTCTCAGCAACGCGACTCTAACTTCTGCACACCATGAGAACCAGTTACAGGACTGGTGCCACATAAATACAGACAAACAAAGTGTCTACAGACCGAGGAACAGGTCTACAGAGTTCCTCCCCTCTCTGTGGCAACAGAGTCGTCACTGTTGGCCCAACAGACCTTAACTCTTAACGCTAATGAGGAAAAAAAAAAAAAGTCAAAAAAGCAAAAACACCCTCAATTACTTCTTGACAACAGTAGAAATGTGAGGGTGGGACAAGGATCAGGAGAGGCAGGAGGAACTGGGAAAGGAGGTGAGGGTGCAGACTGGGAGGCTGTAATAGGAGGGGTCGGTGAAGGGGAACAGAAGGAGAAAGAAGAGGAGGACCCCCAGCAAATAGGAGGAGAGGACAGTGAGTCGGTAAGGGTGCTCCAGAGCTGTGCTGATGGCAGGGAAACCCATGTAGTTACAGAAGGAGTGGCAAAGTACCGGACCAATCAGGTGGCCTGTAACAGACAGAAAAAAACAGCCATTTACTCCCACTGGTTGACAGCGTTACAGCTTCCGTCAGCTTCCCATTCAGCTGTGACAGGCGAAAAACAAATGCTTTGATTTAAAAATAATCCTTTAAATCCTGTAACTGAAAATATTAAAACTGTGTTTTAAAGACAGAAGAGAACATTTTGGACAAGAGGAAAGAATTTTAGATAATCAGCTAATGTGCAAGCTTGGACACCAAACTGCTGAGTGATGAAGAGTATAGTTTATATACAGAAGAGAGCGCTCTCATCCAACTGCCGGACTGTAACCTACCTCAGTACCACAGTACGATGAACAGGCACACTCAATACATGAGCTACTGGTAGACGGAGCAGTTGCTCCACACTGCAAGGCCACACTGGCCACCCTGTGCACTGTGTGACACTTTAAACACTCATCCAAGGCCAATGACACCAACGTCCAGCGCATAACTGCTACAGCAAATTAAATTACTTCATCACACTTATTAACTTAATGTCTCTAAATCCCGCACATATAACATTGCTGGAGACATAAGGATAAACTATGACGTAGGCTTGTGGAACAAGCTGCAGGCTGCAGTGTCCCGAACAGTTAACTACATATACCATAGGCCTTTATATACGACTGTTTAATATGGAAAACATTTTATTTTTAGGTTTTACTAAATTAAAGTGGTATGCAAAAGTTAATTATAAGTTAATAAGTTAATAATTTTCATGTTTCTCCTTCATAAATCACTGGTTGTTTGGATCAGCAGTTTCATTTAAACACAATATTTGAGAAGTGAAATGAAGTTTACAGGATTTACAGAAAGTTTGCAATAGTTACTTCAACTAAGTTAGGCAGGTGCATAAATGTGGGCACCCGCGTTGTTTTATTGGTTTGGATGCCTTCAGCACTAATTATTGAAACATAAAATTTGTTTGGTAAGCTCATTGACCCTTGACCTACATACACAGATGAATCCAGCCATGAGGAAGCGTATTTAGGGTGGCCAGTTGCAAGTTTTTCTCCTCTTTGCATCTTCTCTTGAGAGCAGCAACATGGGAGCCTCAGCTCTCAAATGACCTGAAAACAAACCATGTTCAACATCATGGTTTAGGGGAAGGATACAAAAAGCTATCACCTCCCCTGGGAGGAACATAGTGAGGAAATGGAAGACCACAGGCACAGTTCTAGTTAAGGCCGGAAGTGACAGGTCAAGGAAAACCTTAGATAAGCAGGCGATGGATGGTGAGAACAGTCAGAGTCAACCCACACACCAAATGGAGTCACTGTGCATCGTTCTACTATTCAGTGCACTTTGCACAGGAGATGCTGTATGGGAGAGTAAAGCAGAAGAAGCCTTTTCTGCACACACTCCACAAACAGAGGTTTGAGGTTTGCTAAAGCACATTTGGACAAGTCAGCTTCCTTTTGGAATAAAGTTGAGGGTCGCATGGATTCCACTCAGTATCAGCAGATTCTTCAGAACAATGTTCAAGAATCAGTGACAAAGTTGAAGTTGCACCGGTGCTGGATCTTTCAACAAGACAACGACCCGAAACACTGCTCAGAACCCACTAAGGCGTTCATGCAGAGGAACAAGTCCAACGCTCTGGAACGGCCATCTCAGCCCAGACCTGAATGTTATTGAAAATCTGTGGTGTGAGTTAAAGAGAGCTGTCCGTGCTCGGAAACCATCAAACCTGACTGAGCTGGAGACGTTTTGTAAAGACGAAAGGTCCAAAATACCTTCAACCAGAATCCAGGCTCTCATTGGAAGCTATAAGAAGTGGAGGCGGTATTTCTGCAAAGGTGGATCTCCTAAATATTGATGTATTTTTTCTGTTGCGGTGCCCAGATTTATGCACCTGCCTGATTTAGTTTAAGTAACTATTGCACACTTCCTGTAAATCCTAGAAACTTCATCTCACTTCTCAAATATCACTGTGTTCGTCTGCTATATGATATATTTAAATGAAACTGCTGATCCAAACAACCAATCATTTATGAAGGAAAAGGGTGCCCAAACTTTTGCATGTCACCATATATGGCAAATCAAACTTGTCCATATTCAGTAAACCTTCAATTATTTTGTAACTGTAAAAAACATTCAGTGCACTTCAACGTTGAAAGCTATGCACAAATGATCTTAAATCCTCTTTCACATACAGCAGATATATTTTTCCCAGTAATGCACATCTGTTGGCTCATACGATGGCTGATCTGTGCATTTTATTTTAAAATGACGTACTGGTAAGTTTCTTTCATTTAGTTTATCTCAGGTTAATTGCTGCTTCAGGACTGATGACAGACAACATTTCTGTAAACGCTCTTAAGCCCAGGCTTGGACTGCCCGGCTCAGAAAACCCAAACTTAATCATACCACCCAGCGCCGGGCCGACGGGACGCTCCAAGAACAAGAATAGTGAAGGAAAGCCTCTTACCTGTTCTGATGAAGATGAAGGCTGTGTAGGCTCCAAACACTGCCGTGTAGGAAAACTGAAACACTGTTGCAAAACAGAAGAACAAAAGTGCATCTTCCTGCTATCCTGTGATGAAGTCACAATAAACGCAGTGAAAAAGATGTTCTTACCTGCAGAGACGAAAATACCCAACAGAGTGCCCTGTCTGAACCTCAGCAACTCAATCACATGGTGGAAGTGAGCTGGAAGAGAGGACAGAGCAGGCACTCAGACATGCTGCAACTTCAACACAGACATTATTGGAACATACTCTGTATTACTTATTATACACACTGCTACTTCCAATCAACACAAAAGTTAGGGGGAAAAAACTTTCCAAAAAGCACTCAAAGTCGTGGCTTCTTTGTTTGACTTGTGCTCTTTTGCAGCGATATTGTCTGAGTGGCAACACCATCGTTCAGAAGAAAACTGCAGGGCTTCCTGCGCTGTAATGGTGGGTATAAAGGCTAGTGTCCTGTAAACAGGGTAGCGACAGAGCTCAGATTTTGCCTGTAAGTCTGGAGAGGATGAACCAGGCAGTGATCAGACTACAGCAGATGGAGGACAGAGGTGCTTTTGTCCCTGGTGGACAGTTCATGTGCTGGCTGAATTCTCATGTCTGAAGAACAACGAGCAGGGAGTCCAGGTGTTGTCCTCAGTGTTCGGTATATGATGCTTTGCTAACAAGGCCTAACAAGGTGAACTCCTGTGGAGTATGAAATAGGGCTGAACGATTATGGAAAATAATCTAATTGCGATTTTTTGCCCCAATATTGCGATTGCGATGCGATATGCGATTATTTTTTAAGGTCTTTGTCTTCTGTATTATTAAACAAAGACAAGCAATACATCATATAGTATGGCCAATACTATATTACATTAATTTTAAACTGTTCTTTCCTGGAAGACAGACCTCTGTTATGATGACATGAGGTGATGCATGAATTGATGACTGACATTTTTATTTAACTTCTTCAATCACAACAGTATATTTGAACATACACAATAGTTTATTTTTAGCTTACAAACATCTGAGCATAAAGTGCTGACAAGGAACCCTGGTGTAAACATTAACATGAAAGTCAGTACAATGTGCAGATTGCAGAAATATACATAAACAAAATCAGTGGCTTTACCACACTCAGTTTTTCGACATCTGTGAACTACTAGACAGTCATTCAATTAAAAAATAATATTAAATAAATAAAACTAATAAATAAAAAATACACACATCTTACTGATCTCTGCAGTCAGTAACATTACACATAAAGTGCAAACATAATAGCAATTGTATAAACACACACACAAACACGCCTTTAAAATTTAAAGGCGTGAAATTGGACGGTCTAGTTCTGATTAGCGTCACCGCTGTCTCGGTGGAGTTTAATAAACTCGGCCGTCTGCTTCTTGCTATCTAAAATATAACCAGACACTGGTGTAAATTCTCGACTGTCTCATACTTCTGTTTAATAAGTTTTCTGTTTGACGTTTAGTCAGCTGTGTAAAAACCAAGGAGGAACCCACCCGGGGGATTAATAAAGTTTTATTTTATCTAATCTAATAACTTTAATCTCAGCCAAACCGATTTACTCACGAACAAACAAAACACTGAAAAAAGCCCAACAATAACATTTTTAGGTTGTCTAAGTGACTTATATATTACGTTTAACCCGAGCAGCGAAACTCCGCGGTGATCTGAAAATGATGTGCCGGGAGTTGTGCCGTTCTCGGCCACATCAGTAACACTCGAGCTCCCGGCTAGCTGTCGAGCTGGTGGGTAGCAGACGCCTCTGAAAACGTCGAAGCACTTTTGCAAATATGGGATATCTTGATAAACCGAGCAGATATTTGATGTTTACCCAACTACTTTCTCGCCTGAAAATATGTTAAAAGTTTATTTTGTGACCCAGAAAGATTAGTATGAGTAATTTTAAAACTTAGTAGCGGCCGCCATTGCTGGAAACTGGAGTTTGGCTGGGCCGCGCTATGAATTCTGGGATATGGTAGTAATTTGGACAGCCTTCGGCGCGTCGCTGTGACGTAATCGGTCTACAAATGCGGCCTCAGGAGGATGCAGCCCATGAATTTGGACATGTCCAGAGTATAATCGCAGCCTTTGCGGTTAGAAAATTGCACTTGATCATGTCGCGATATTATCGCAAATGCGATATATCGTTCAGCCCTAGTATGAAATGATTTAAACTCAGTGATAATGGTCTCTAGGTGAGGGACTGCATGTTTCTTTCCCAACACTGCGCCATCTAAACACCAACCTTTGTTTATATACAAATAGATTTCGCCTCCTCTTTCAGAAAGCTCCGTATAACGATCCACAAGCAGCCGGGGATGTAGTCACCTATCTAGCTTTTAGAGAAGCACAAAGTTGCAAATCTGGAAAAGTTGATTTTAAGCCTTTGAGTAGCTGCAGTTCATCCGTGTTGTTGGCAGTATATTTGCCAGGTGAATCGAAGCGTGCATCCCCGCCGAGTTTACGGACACTTTGTTTCGCTTCCCTCGTTAGTGTCTCTTGAGCCCGTTCAGAGCTGCTGCTCCTCCAGCTAAGAGCTAAACACTCTGGGTGGCACTGACTCGGCCTGCAGTAACAGCGAGGAATCCTGGAGTCATTTTTGAGAAGGACACATCTTTCAATATTAAACAAATATGCAGAACTGCTTTCTTCCATTGGTGCAATATTTTGTAAATTAGAAGCTCGTGTATTTATTTCTTCTTAGCTGGTTTTATTGTAATTCATAATTACAGTAAAACCAGTAAAAAAACAATTTAACACAATTAACGCATCTGGAGTGCAGAATGACTCAAAATCCCTGAAATGTTTCTGTAAACACATTTCGGGCAGTTTGTCCAAGCAGTTACCTTCGAACAAGCAGGCGGCAGTTGATCTGGTACTGACGGGCAGCTGAACCAGTCAACTCAATATGGAAGATGATAAACGCACATCGGCCCTCTCGATGGGACTTTTGAGTATTTATTTCAGCACATTGTGAAGTTTTTAAAACGGCTGAATAAAAACAGAAAAATAAATAAACAACTTGTGGCTAAGCTGGAAAAAACTTGCACTCACCCACTCCGAAAAAGAGGGGGCAGGTTATGATAGCGGTAGAAGGACCAGCACAGGGCACCAACATGGGCAACATGCATGCTCTGAACACCAGCTCCTCAGTTAGCGGCGCCACCACTTGATTCCTCAGCCACCGCATATCGTTGGCACACAACATCCAGAACCACGGGTCTAGAGGAAGAAGCGAGAGCAACAGGTGTAAACCAAATTTAGAAACAGATCTAAAATCATGAATCAAGAATAAAACACAACACAGCTTGTTGGCTCACCAAAGGCCACCCGGATCCCATCGGTGAAGCTCCACGGACAATCCATGGCCAACTGCATGAGTGGGCCCAGAAACAGGACCTGCAGCACATGGCCAGACAAATATTTGAGATGTTGCTGCCATTACCAGAGCTGCATATAAAATGTATGTTTTCTCCTCTGTCCACATAATGTCATTCAGCAGTGTAATTGTGAGCACTGACTGAATGACAGTAAAGGAAGCTGAATCTGAAAGTCAAACAAATCCGAGCATCTGTGTCTTTCTTGCATCTCGAGTTTCTCACCTGACTCAAACCATTGTTTTAGCATTCCTACTGCACACGTCACCACTGTCTCGCTGTCCTCATACTTCACTGGAACTCGTGATTTCCTCATGTGGGGCCACAGTTCCTTCTCATCATAAGCTTTCTATACATCCACAAAGACAGTACGACTCCTGACCTTCTTTATACTTCAACAACACTCTGAAAACAAACATCTGTCGTGTTATCTCTCAACACGAAGCCCTCGCCCTGATCATTGATCATCACCTCTCTTCATAACCGAACATCAATATTTTTTCCCATAGCTTCATGATATGGTTCATCAACTTTATCCCTCCATAGTTACAACAGCTCTGCACATCGCCCTTGTTCTTGAAAACCACCACTTCTCTATCTCTAGGTATCCTCCCACTTTCCAAGACTAAATACTTGTGTTAAAAGGTTCACTGAAATCTCTTCTAAACATCCACACACCTCCACAGACATGTCATCTAGACCAGCTGCCAGCGTTGCCCTCGCTGTCCTCCATCCATCCTCTTCACTCTCCTTTTTCTTTCCTCCAGCTCCTCAAGAGGTTCCACCTCTTCAGTACATTCGTTCAAGACTCTCTATGACTCTGTCTAGCCACATGGTAGAAGTCCTTTTCTCCTTCCTCAGTGTCAAGCCTCACATGTGAGTCACTATAAGCCTTTTTGTTTTTGCCACCAGCCTGTTTGTTGAACTCATAGACTCTGGTATTTCCGCCTCCTTTCTTCATCTCCCTGGCTACTTTTCTGCTGTGGTTGTAGGTGAATGTAAGTACGAATGAAAGCAACACTAAAATATTTAACTACAGATTCACAGTTCTCAGTATATTTGTATAAATATCACATTTGTGAATATTTTAGGTTGAAAATTAGTGTGTGAACATTAATAAAGTAACAATTTAAATTATTATTTGAAATTGTTTCTATACATTCTCATATTTTATTCTGAGTGACATTACAAGGACACAAAAGCGTGCATGTTTCCCACAACTGATGTTTTCATCATTCAAACTAAAGAAAAATAAATGTTTTCTTTCCCAAACTATTCCAATCAAGCAGTTTAACGATGAACATGTACTAACCCAGTAGTAATGTTAGGTAAGCACACTGGCTGTTTCTTACCATGGTGAGGAGCAGAGGAAGTATAATGGCAGGAATGAGGCCTTCAAACCGGATTCCCATGAGAACCAGCAAAGACGGGCCATTCTGACACACAAATGAAAACAGAAACTGTGATACAACGCAGCACAAAATGTCCATCCTGAGGTACTGGAACACAGCACAGTTATCCAAGATCTCAACTCACCACGACGCCTGCAGATTCTCTCCATGCCCACACAAACAGGGGCGACAGCCCTGACACAATCAGGACGCTGGTGAAGCGTCTCTTTATGACAGCAGGATGGTCCCTGAGGACAGGGGACACGCACAGAACGTTATCCCAAGCACACAAGCAGGAGATACGAACAGCTTCTGTGTGCTGATAAGATGGAGGAGCTTTGGTTTAATAATGCACACATAGAGAAGCACATTAAAATCCTCCAACCAATAACAAATCTGCAAATGTAAAGTGATGCGTCGCAGACACACTCTGGTATCAATGTGAATGATAAAAGCCGCGCTGCATGGAGTCGTACTGAAGACTGAAACAACCCAAAAGTTTTCAGGTTCATTTCAGCCCCATCCAGTCTTACTGATAGATCTATAACTCACAACAGCAGTTGCCTGGCAGGATTTATATTGTAATAAAACTATTTAAACAGCGGGCTGTGAAACTGTTTTTTCATGCTTTAAAGTTGCCCATTTAAATGGTAACTGGTAAGTGGACTGGTTCTTATACAGCGTTTTCTCCTCTGAGCACTCAAAAGACCGTCTGCAAGCGCCACAGTTTTCAGTGTCTAATTTAGTGGTCGTTGTGATCTGGGAGGTGATGTGAGCTGTGGAAGCATGCATCACACGGTCACTGCAATTTACATCCATTCAGTTGGTGCAAGAATGTTTTAAATATTTGGTCCTAATCAGATTTCAGGTTTCTCCACCACAGCCCCCCCTCCCTCCTTCTCCTTCCCCTCTCACACCTGTGTCATTAATCTGAGTACAAATGAAGCAGGTGTTGACATTGTGGAAAACATCCTGTACCAAAAATGAAGTGTCCAGCTGAACTGAACGCCTACAGAGCAGTGGCCCGCACATCGCACATCATGAAAACCTTGGAACAGCTGATTCTACACCGACTGTGACTTCAGGTCAACAACATACGAGACCCCCGTCCTCTACATGCTTCACCGTGCCCGAGCTCATCTGGAGAAATCTGGCACTCATGTGATCTTTGACAAGCTCACAGAGATTACAGACTACCTGACAGAAAGACCACAGTCAGGTTGGAAAACTGTGTTTCTGGAACATTAATGAGCAGCACGGGGGCAACACAGGGGACTGTCCTGGCTTTGTCCCCTTTCACATCGCGTACAGCAGACTTCAAATACCATTCGGAGTCCTGCCACATCCAGAAACACTCAGATGATACTGCCATTGTGGTTTTAACAATGGACAGAATTCTGAATATAAGGATCCTGTAAAAGTCACAAAAACGACCTCATGTTGAACACCTGTAAGATGAAGGAAATGATAGTAGAATTTCAAAGACTCAGGCCTCCTCTCCAGCCTGTGAAAGTCTTTGGGCTGGACATAGAAATATCTAGGGTTACACATAGGTAACAAAGCACACTACTCCCTAAATACAGAAAAAATATACAAAAAAGGGCAGAGTTGTCGCTTGTTGCTAAGGAAACTAAGATCTCTTAACATCTGCAGTACAGATGTTCCTTCAGTCTGTGGGGGCAGGTGTGCTGTTCTAGTCTGAGCAGGGATGGAAATTGAGAAGCGGTCCCTAGTAGTTCAAGTCTTTGTTAATCTTCTTGTCAGTTCAGCTCATCGGTTCCACTGGCACTTACACTACAATCAGCTGATTTCAGTTGATTAGTGGTACAGTCTACATATTTTTATGGCACAAAAAGACAAGAGCATGATGTGTGGGACAGAAGCACCTCGTTATGCTGCTAACACAGCGTTGGCATCTTCACAGACGGCTCGCTGTGCCTAAGCTATCCAAGAAGACAGAGGAGTTAAAAAGCTGAGTGAATGCTGATCCGAGCCCAGCAGCCAGACGTTGACCTTCAACTGGTAGCAAAAGCAGTGATGAGCAGTCGGGCTCATGTTTGTAAATCACTGTGGTGATCGTTTTAAAGCAGCAGTGGGGAACTCCAGGCCTCGAGGGCCGCTGTCCTGCAGGTTTTAGGTCTCACCCTGGGTCAACACACCTGAATCAGAGGATTTGTTCATTACCAGGCCTCTGCAGAACTTCAAGGATCAAGGACACGTCTAAAACCTGCAGGACACCGGCCCTCGAGGCCTGGAGTTCCCCACTCGTGCTTTAAAGTCTCCTTTTTTGGTTGGTGGTTTTCATCTTTGCTTTCTGGTCATACTTGCATTCTAAAGGAGGACACACACATGATCTTTCTCTAATAGAGATTTGTGGTGGTGCCTGGGTCAGTTTACAGTTAAGTGGTAATTATCAGACAATTCATTTCAGATCATTTTACAGAGAAAGTAACACAGCAAAGAGTGTAAAAGTTACTATTACCTGGAGTACTTAAGTAATGTACTGCATTATCTCTAAGAGCAGTGTTCTGTGTGATAGATCGCTATTTTGAGTAATGACCCAAACACAACAAAGAGGGGAAATACCTCCAGCATGCACAAACCTCTGACCACAGCGTGCAGACTAACGCCTGTAAATGTCTCGAGGGAACCAGTGAGAATCATTAACACAATCAATAAGTGATATCTGTGAATCACTAAACACTTATCAGTTCCCATCACTATGAATGGAGTGGTGATGACGATGAGCTGCCACAGTCTCTGCTACATTAGTACCATCAAAGACAGCAGTGCTAAATGTCTGACGTTACTGTCAGTGCAACATTTTCCTCCCAGAACAGTTGTTAAACCAAACAGGAGGGTGGAGGCCAGCGTTTTGGTGCATTAGCTTTGTGCCATCCACTTGTTATGACTCTGTGGGCAGGTGTAAGCAGCTGCTCTCTACACCTGTGCAAACACAGTAGATAAGAGGGAAGAAACAGGAGAGTTTCTATTGTCTAAGGAGCTGGGAAACAAAGGCATCTGGACTTCTTTAATCCCGTGCATCTTATGGTCCGAAAAATACATATTTGATTTTTTTATTTGGCACACTGCAGTTTAATGTTGCAAAGCAGCTCTTTTTAACTTCAGTGGATATTATACATGGTTATGCTCAGGATATGTCAGCACATTTCTACTGGAAATGCCTTTTGGTTAAGCTTTCAGCCAGGAATTTGCATTTGCACTGTTAAATGTTTATACAGCTTTAATGCACATAAAAAACAGCTGCTTGTTTAAGTGAAAATAAATGGATGGTGGGGGTTTTTGCGTGAGTAAAGTTGTGGAGTTTTACTTTGTCTCGCAGAAATTATATCGTCAGTTATAAGGTTATCGCAAATTTTCAAATATATATTTTTGGCCATGTCGCCCTGCTCTAGTAGCAAGGAGACTTATGGCGTAGCACTATACAGCTCATCTATCTTTGTACATTCTCACGACTGCTATGAACCACTCACCATTCAGTCCTGGAATAAACACTTTTCCCTAGGAACAAGCAGAGAGTCACTGACGGGTCTTAGGCCCATTTGACTGGCGCTTTAGTAATCAGCTTCACAACTACTACCAGAAACCACTCACAAGTGGTTAGAGAATCTGCATTTTCTTTCCCTATATGACTGGGGCCAGCTAATATGAACATCGCAGTATAGTCCTGTGGCGTTTGCTATTCACAATGATAGGTGACAGGATACATGCATCTTTACACACAGTGACACTTAAGACATCATCTAGTCTCTGCCCTGGTTCATTTTGAGTGGCAACATAATCAACACAACTTCAAAGTAAAGCCTGAGCCAGCCGCTTGTGATATAGTGGAGCATGAACATTTTGTAGTACAAGTATCACTTAGCTGCAGAATGAACCAAGGACTCATTTTTCCTCACAGAAAGGAATCCATTATTTTTTGTGCAAACTTCTGCATTGTTAGATTTTTGCCTCGACTGCCATCAAGTCGTTGCCAAATAGGATTCCATAAATTTAGCAGCCCTATTTTGTAGCCATTCAAATTTCAAGATCCCCTGATACAAGCACAGGAACGAAAGAAAAACAATCAGAGTCAAGCAAAACAAAGAAAATATTGCTTTTGCAATTGGCCACTTTGTTATTAAATACTTGCTCTGGCCCAGAATCTGACAACTGTTGCATCCATATATGCCCTTGTCAGATGACAGGAAATTCTTTGTGCGTCTGTGAGTGAAAAACTGAACCAAGTTTTACTTCAAGTTTAAAAAACACCCTGAGAAAAGAAGCTGTCCTAGTCTACAGCGGGGGTGGAGAACTCCAGGCCTCTAGGGCCCATCTCCTGCAGGTTTTAGGTCTCACCCTGGGTCAACACACCTGAATCAAATGATTCATTCATTACCAGGCCTGGAGAACTTCAAGAGAGGTTGAAGAGTCGTTTAGCCACTTAAATCAGCTGTGTTCAAGGACACATGTAAAACCTGGTCTGCAGTGTGCCCAGGTGGAGGTAAAGTAGCAACAGCCCTGGAAGCTCCTCACAGGTTAATCCAGTCAGAAACAAGGAAGCTGTCATTGCTTCATTACTGCACTGGTAGCCACACTGTGACATGAGTACTGAAGATTATCATAGAAGATACATTTCCTCAATAAAACGAACGGAACCGCGTGAAAAAGCTCACTTGCAGATGCCACCAGCCTTTCTTCAGTGACTCTTTAACATGCTCCACAAACATGCAGACTGATCAATTATCTCTAATTAAATATTAATTCAAACTTGATGCAAACTTGAGTATGGGTAAATAATACAGGAATGAAAGCAGTTCACTGACTCTCCTTTCAAATAAGCCCCACTATAAAGCGTATGTAGCTCACCTCGGCAGGTGACTCCTCCACACATATAAGCTGCCAACATAAAAACAAGCCAGCATCAGACAGAACAGCACTGACAACCAACACAGGCCGTCGGGAGGGACCAGCTCTCCACTGCTGTGCTGCATCTTCTCTGTCAAAAAGTTGGCTGGTAAATCATCTTCCTCTGTCATAATGAAGGCGAGCCAGGACTAAACCAAACAGCTGCTAGGAACCAGAGGTGCTGCTGGGTCATTTACCAAGATAAAACATTGGCCCACACGACCTACGAAGCTGTCAGTAAGCTCCTTTCAAATTGCGGGCTAACGGAGCTAACTGGTTTGCTAACGTCTACGGCGCTTTCTGATTACGTCATCGTATCTCCTTTCCGATATTTGCTGGTGCTACCGTTAGCGTCCTCTTCGTCTTCTTCTGGGTCGTGGCCGTGTGGGATCTACGATGCGATTAATCTACGATGCAGGTGCGTACCAAAAGTTCGCGATGACCAAATGAAGCTTTCTGAAGCTTGTATCGAAACAGGTTACTCGAAGCTTTTCAACACTGCTCTCTGTGGTGACATCTGCTGGCCAGAAATATGAAGAGCAGCTTCAATCTACAACTTGATATTAACTTCATTGAGCTTCATTCTGACTGCCCACTCTACAGAGGTGAATTGACAGTTTCGGTTTAATATCATGTAACAGTTCTGTGATATCGGGCCCATTTTTTTTTTTTGGGGGGGGTGTTATTTGATTAATAAATACTTTGGATCATTTGAGCATGTGCCACACTGTTCTCCTCTTAGTTCCTCCACAGTGACATCTGCTGGCCCAATTTGGCTATGACTACATCTTCATAATGCTTTCCTGTGAAGCAATTCCAAACAAAGCTACTTATTACACCAGACTGTCAATAACGGTGATCAACACTGAGGATTTTGGAGAAATCCTCACACAATCAAGGCAAGAAACATATTGAGCCTGTTAAAGACAGCAGGCTGTGACTGTAACAATTAGTGTCTCCATTTGTTAACATTTGCGTTGCTCATAATAAATCCATTTATAAAGTCAAACATACAGAGAAAAGACTGCTGTGTTTGCTGTAATACACAGAAACGTTCCTGAACTTTATCACTGGGAGTCTGGAGTTTTGGTCATAGTGTACCTGCATAGCTGGGAAGAAAGGGGGGATAGGAAAAAACACATCTGTCAGGAAATTGTTTTTCTAGCTTTTTTTTCTATATAAATATAAATATACTTTTTATGGCGGCGCAGTGTGTGAGTAACAGATCATAGTGAGGATGATGTCACTCAATGCTACAAATAACATCTTCTGTTGAAAGCAGGAAAAATTGAGAGCACAGACGGAGTCAGAGCTGACCTGCCTGTTTTATTTTCTCCTTGAAAGCAGACGTGGTTTTTATTAAGATATTTTAAGGATTTTACAGCCCAGTTGTTTTTATATCTATATAATGTATATTTGATTTTGCTTTGGGTTCCAGTGTTTAAGTGAATGGATAGGCTAGTCTTCACAATCACCCCAACACTCTTGGGGATTCTCCAGTTTTCCAGTGTTTGGTTCACTCGGGTACATTTGGACCTCCACTATCCACAGTGACATTTCACGTCCTCCCTGCAGGACATCTCTTCAGACTTTCAGCCATTGCTGTGGTCTCTGGAATTAGGATAATTCCCTTTTCTTCATCCTCCAGCATCATTAGATGGGCAGCGCTTTTAGACATGTGCAATAATTTCACACTGTTCTGATGAGAGTGGGCTAATGTCAGTGTGTAGGCCTGCCAAAGGTGCTCCTACAGGTTATCCGAGGTCATAAACACATTGGAGCATTTGGTATGTGCAATGTTTCAATGTGTATCCACCTCTTGAATTAGCTTCTGCACCCGTCCAAGGCGGGTGTTCAGTGCAGCCCAGGCTGATTTGCTCCTGCACCTCTGTCAGCCTCTATTACAAAATTAGCCAACAAAAAGTGATGAATTCAAGTGTCACTGCAGCAGCAACTTATACAATATGGTGCCATTTAGAATATTGGGATAAAATAAAGGAACTCTTCTTTTCAGTGGTACTGAAAACTGGTAACTTTGTAATTCCCCAATGAGTCAATTCAGCACTTTGTTACAGCGCTGAAGCTACAGGTGAAAGACTGTAACTATAGAAATAATGACCAAATGGTCAGGGACTGTATTGTATTTGGAACTTGCTCATCAATAGTAAGGGAAAAGCTGCCCAGCTAAGGAGCAGACCTAAACAGACATAGGCCCCTCCCATGAGTGAGCTCAGATCCAGCTAAAGGCTATGGCTAGCAACAGCCACGAGGTCCACTCAATACAACATAAACATGGAAGAAAGGGCACAGTAGGGCACGCTGATGGGTTACGAGAAAGGTTAGAAGCACCAGTTAAGGCACGTGAGACACCACAGTACACAAGCAGAATGCTTGACAGTGTCTGAAATACAAAAAATATTAGTTTGCAAAAGCCTATAGAACGAAGTTTCACATGAATCAGGTCGTAGAGAAGTGCGCTCCATCAAACTGTTTGTGGTTACTGTTACTGTAACTGAAGATGAGGCTGGCGCACATGCAGACAGAGAACTTGGATGCGAAAATGTAAAGACAATATTCAAGCTGGATACCAGTGCACAGACCAGCATTATGCCCTCATGGCAAATAAAGGGCACTCTTCTTCTTAAAACCATGGATTTTTTTTGCACCCAGCATTTAACACAAGCTTCTTTTTTTGTCTTGTTGTGATACAGCCTGAGTTTATAATCGGTCTATAATCTTTAGTAATGTAATTGATCTTAGTTTCCCCAGTACCCTTGTGTCTTTACCCTGTTTGGGACGAGGATTATTGTGCCTGTTCTTTGTTTTCTATGTTTCAGAACTTGGTTTAAGTCCATCCAACCTTTCAGTGCAGGTTTTAGTCCAATTTCTCTGACTTTAGGTCAGAGACACAATATAAATAATTCATTCATTTTTGAATATGAAACCTTTTTTTTTTTCCCCACAACTTGACTATATGCAGATGAATAAAGTATAACATTGCAAAGCCTCTTTGCTTTTCTGTTGTTTTACATGGTTGCATGGTCATAAATGGTTGCATCGCTTTGTCTCAATTTTTAACAGCTCATGGTTTTCCTGATACATTTATTTAACGCATCATATTTTGCCACACATACCTTATTGTAGAATTCTGTAACACAACCTTTTGTTTCAAATTGGCTTGAAAGGTTTTTTTATTGAATAAATCATGCAAATAAAGCAAAACAATACTAGATTTCCTTGACAAACAATCACCAGTGAACATCTAAATACATTTCATACTTTATTGGCCTCCTAAAATGGAAATCATTCAGTAAAGAACAGCTACTGTTACCATTTTTGTCCTGTAAATCTACATTTCAGTGACATTGCAAAACGGAAAATACTCCCAGGAGACACAGTGAATGATCCGAAATGACTATTGAAGCATATAATAAATTGAACTGTGTATTAATCTTTGTGTTATTTTATTGTATTTTTTAAATTACTTGTCTTTTATTATTTTATTCTATTATGATGTATGTGTTGTTGTTTTAAGAAACTGGCCGTATGGCACTTTTGAACTGAGCTGAGGAGAGAGAGGGGGAGACAGAGGTGACATCGCACTGTCTGCTGTTATTTGTGGGAGAATCGATTCTGGCGTAAGATGAACGGAAGAGAGATGATATTGCTTGTGATGCTCTGCGCTTCCTGTTCTTCTCCATCACTCCTCTTTACGCTTCCCAGGCCGTGCGGCGACTGAAGCCCCCGCAAATATTCCCTTCAACAGGAGGAATTCCACACAGATCCGAGCCGTCCTGGACCTCTGCTGGCAAACATCCGCGGGTACGGGCCTGTTTATCCCCATTTTCCATCACCTGTCTTTCTTACAGCTTTCCTCTTACAGCAGCTTCCTCTACAAAACATCAAATGTCAGGAGACGCCAGCCGGCCTGTCTTGTGCTTTATTCCTCCTCTGGAGAGGTGATGGGAATCCAAGTCGCCTTTTAATTCGTGGATTGTTGACTTTATCGCCTATTCAAGGCTGACGTGAGTCTTTATGAGGTAAAGAGATTTATGTGATGTCAGACTAATGTGAGTGATGAAGAACGGGTTTCGTTTGGTTGTTATATCGGCTACTGTGTACATGTCGTACACAGATATACGTGCTTCTGCATGGAGGGTGTGTGCTCGCAGTATGTAGCTTATGTTGTTCGTGCGGGGGAGTCACCTACGTAAATGTCTTATTTTTCTCTGTGTAGCCTGTTTGTGTGATCACATCTGCTCAGATTACTACACGTCCTCCGTGCACACACAAACATGGCCCGGAAAAAACGCAATTGGCTGCAATCCGCGCACACATAAGGAATAAGAAGAGGAGAAAGAAGCCATATTTGAATCATCTCGTATCACAAATCAAGCCTTTGTGGTGCATTAACAGTTCCATGTGACACTTCCAGCTTCTAGACGTTTCCAGAGTGAATGAGGCGGAGGAGGATTTGGTGGGATGGTCCTTCAAAAAGGCTCAGAGCGTTAAAAGTAACAGTCCTTCGACGATATTCACGATGCAACAATAATTAGTCATTTGTAACTTGATGGGATGTGACCGTACACAAAACACACGTCTGTGTATTCTCAGTGCTGCTGAGGCTTTGTGCTGTGATTCGGCTGCTAGTGGCTACAGACGCGAAGCCAAACTATTCCAAAGCATATTACTGTCGCCAACATCACTAATGAATGTATGCAGTTCTGTGCTGTAGTGCTAAAAATAACACAAAACAATAGTCTCACCTTTACAGTTGTCCTAGGATAAAATACTCAAAACCATTTTTCAATATCACATGAAATTTTGGACCCCATCCTGCAACAACTCTGAACGAGAAGAAGCAATTCTATGAAAATGTAAACGATAATTATCAACCAGTTTTGTTAACCATAAGGTAGATTTAACAAAGTATTTAAGTTTAGAGGTTGTATTCGCTTTGCAGATGATTTAGCTCTTTTCGTATGCTGAAGACAATATATTTCAGAACCAACTAATGAAGGGTACAACAGTACACTACCTAACACATTTAAATAATTAAATTATTGTATAGGAAGAGAAATATGGAAATGTTAAAAATTAACTTTGGATCAGTGTGATTTCAGCTATGCTAAAATGAAGGCATCAAAAACAGAGCTTTCTTTGATCCAGCGACGGCCTGCATTTTAAAACTGACCTCACAGCGTGCTACAAAAAATAATCTCAGTTCAGCTACAGTTTTCCTGCTGCTCTGCACAGCCAGCAACCCACCTGGTTCTCCAGGCGTCTGTAATCCAGTCAGCCACAGCTCCATATCCCATCGGTGACCCATTCAGCCCAACAGCAATTATTGCTTTTCGGGGTTTTTAATCTAACGACTGCCTGCTAGTTTCTATGTTAATGATTAAAAACAGCTAACGTGACTGTTGAAAATTACTAATAGTTAATCTGCTATAATCATAAAGGACCAGTCGCACACGTCGTTGCAAGAAAAATGTGTTTCTTCATGAGGTTTTCCACTACTTGCACAGCTTTTCAGCTGCTTCAGGTCCCAGTACTTGAGTAGAGAAGGCATGGTTAGGTTGTGCTTGCCGGCTGTGACCACCAGCCTTCCCTGACACGAAATCCTAATCCCACTGCTCCACCCCTCCTCTGCAGGTGAGCCACAAACCATACCCAACCACAACGGCAAACACTACTGTGTGTCCCAGCAAGATTAAATTATAACTGTTGAAACAGGAGCTTGACCTCTCAAAAATTCCTCCTAAAGTGTTTTTCAGTATTACCTACGTTGACTACTTCAGCTGTTAGTGAGAGGACAGGACCTGTGTGCTTGCCTGCCTGCAGCAGAGGTGTCTAAAGTTGTGTCGGCTTGAGGAGGCATTTATGAGACTGCTGATATTTGCTTTTTGAAAAAGTGTGATTTAATATTCGCTTTAGCATTGATTATTATCTGAGTATGCTTTTTTTAACTACTACCTTTACTACCTGGGTAACAGGCAGGGTTTACAGATATGGAATGTGGAGGACCTTTAAGGTCATGTGTAAGCGGTGCAATGGATATAGTGGTATGAACGGATTTTGTCACTTTCCATAAGTCACACAATAATTTGTATTGTGCGTTCCCGTTGAGTCTTCTTTGTGTTTAGGCTGTGATCAGCTGATTTGTTTCTGCTGCTGCTCTGGGATTTTTTGCTCTTTGTGTATTTTTGTATCTAAATTGATTCCACCAGATATAAGTAAATGCAAAATGAGCTGTCATATAAAAGCAGCATGAACGATAAGATAAGATAAGATAACCTTTATTAGTCCCACACGTGGGAAATTTGTTTTGTCACAGCAGGAAGTGGACAGTGCAAAAGTTATGACGCAAAAATTAGAATACAATAAGAATAAATACAGTACACAACTGTACAGAATAGAATAAAATAATATACTATATACAGTAGAATAAAATAGAATAAAAATATACAATAAGATAAAAATAGAATACGAATGCTATATACAACTGAGTAAAAATACAACGATGCCAGAAAAGATTATTGCACTTAGTATTATTGCACATGTGTGGATGTGTGTGTTTGTTCAGTTAAAGTCTTTGTTGTGGAGTCTGACAGCAGTGGGGAGGAAAGACCTGCGAAATCTCTCCGTCCCACACCGTGGGTGCCGCAGTCTCCCACTGAAGGAGCTGCTCAGTGCTGTCACAGTCTGCTGCATGGGGTGGGAGACGTTGTCCATCAGGGATGACAGCTTAGCCACCGTTCTCCTGTCACTCACCACCTCCACTGGGTCCAAAGGGCATCCTAGAACAGAGCTGGCAATTAAGTGAGTAAATCTAATCATCTTAAACTTATTGATGTCTGCCATCCTTGATGTAACCTTACAGTGACACAAGCATCAGTCTGCTCTGCACCAGACTAACCAGTTGAGCCTGCATTAAGCTCTATTTAACTGCTTGGTATTTTTATGTAACTTTTAAATTACCCAAAATGTTATACTTTAGTTTGCTTTGCAAGATGCTTTACAAAATAGCAATACATGCATTGATCCAATACCTGACTTGAAAAACAAAAACCCAAAACAAACAATCAATCAGTCAATCAGAACTGAATGGATGGATGAATATTTCCGTCCATCCAGTCAGCCATCCATTTTGTGCTGCTTATCCAGGTTCAGGTAGTTAGGACAGCAGTCAGAGCAGAGAAGCCCAGGCTTCCCTCACCCCAGCCACCTGTTGGGGACACAGAGATGTACCTAAGCCAACCAAGAAATGTAATCTCTCTAGCAAGTCCTGTCCTAGAACCTCCTCACCAGTACGAGATCCCCGGAATACTTCAGCAGGCATCTTAGTCAGATTCCCGAACCACCTCAGCTGGCTCCTTTTGATGAGTAGGAGCAGTACCTCTACTCTGACTCCCTCTTTAATGACTGAGCTCCTCACCCGGGCGAGGCCAGCCACTCTTTGAAGAAAATTCACATATGCTGGTTGTATCCGTCACTCAACCCTTTTCCAGCTGAGAACCACAGTCTAGGACATAGGTGTCGAACTCCAGTCCTCGAGGGCCGGTGTCTTTAAACTTTTCCATGTGTCCCTGCTGTAACACACCTGTATTAGTAGGTCATTAGCAAGACTCTATAGAACTTGACTCCATGCTGAGGTGGCAATTCAGCCATTTGATTCATGTTACAGCAGCTCATGACTGAATGAACAACAATAAAAGTACTTTTAGAATTAGATTTTTTCACAAACTTAGATTTATTTACATTTACTTGAGGTTAGGGGTTGACACATCAGCATGCAGTCGGTTCTTACTAATGACCTACTAATTTTATTCAGGTGTGTTGCAGCAGGGACACATTTAAAAGTTTCAGGAGTCCTCAAGGACTGGAGTTCAACACCCGTGGTCAAAGTGCTAATTTTCATTCTCACGTTTCACAGCCAACAGAACCACATCCTCACCAAAGAGGAGACCCTCCCCGACTTGGCTACCCCTAGATATCCGATCCATGAAGAGAATCTGTGGCAAAGGCCAGCCACCAGAAAGGTGTTTGACTTACTTGCTACAGTTGTAGAGCTTGAATGGCCCATAACAACTGGCCAAACAGCCCCAACTCCTGAAACTCCCTCCACAGGATACCCCGAGGGACTTGGTTGAATGTTGTCTCCAAGTCCCGAAATTACATTAGTACATTGGTTGGCCAAATGCTCACAACCCCTTAAATATCTTCAAGAACATAAAGAGCTGGTTTAGTGTTCCACGACCAGGGCAAAAGTGGCTTTATTTCTCCTGAATCCAAGGGCTGACTAACGGATGGACTCTTCTCTCGAGTACCCTGTGATTGACTTTCCCTGGGAGGCTGAGGAGTATGATCCTCCGGTAGTTGGAGCACCCCCTCTGGTCCCCTTACTTATGGGGGAGTTCGCCTTGTAATAGGAAGGTTGCCGGTTCGAGTCCTGGCTTGGACAGTCTCAGTCGTTGTGTCCTTGTCCTTGGGCAAGACACTTCACCCGTTGCCTACTGGTGGTGGTCAGAGGGCCCAGTGGCGCCAGTGTCTGGCAGCCTCGCCTCTGTCAGTGCGCCCCAGGGTGGCTGTGGCTACATTGTAGCTGCCATCACCAGTGTGTGAATGTGTGTGAATGGGTGGATGACTGGATGTGTAAAGCGCTGTGGGGTCCTTAGGGACTAGTAAAGCGCTATATAAATACAGGCCATTTACCATTTACCTACTTAAACAGGGGAGTCAACAACCTAGTTTTCAAATCCAGAGGCACCCAAACCCCCAAACCCACCCAAAGACATGTCAGTCCTGACAGCCCTACATCATCCAGAATCTTCAGGAACTGAGGGGGAATCTCACCCGCCCCAGGGGTCATGCCAACGTGCGGTTGTTTAACAACATCAGTGTGAGAGCATTGAAGTCCCCAATAGAGTCTCTGTGTGGAGCACTCTCCAGCACCTCATCCAGGGATTCTGGCACTTAGGTACAAACGATAGTCAGGACCTGGGGCCTGAGGAAAACTCCAACGCACAGGCAGCGAACCAGGGAGATACATTTGCACCACTGCCTCCCATTGGGAAACTCCAGGGTGGAGTCCACTCTCCAGAAACTGGTTCCAGAGCCTCTTGGCATGAGCCCAATTATATCTGGTTGGTATCTGCCAACCTCCAGCACCAGGTCAGGCTCCTTCCTCACCAGTGAGGCGGCATTCCAGGGATCAGAGCACCAGGTCCCCCACCTCTGACTGCCTCCCAGTCCACTAAGGACCGTAGAATATTACATTACAGAGCAATCCTTACCTTTGAAGAACACATCTTCAAAGGTAAAGATTCTTTTAAGAGATAGAGATAGATCATGTCTTTTCTTTGGTAATACTTGCATATTAACACCCTCTTAGAATACTCTGGCTTTTAGAAAATGTAAATATTAAAGCGACTACAATGAAAAAACTGAGATGAGATCATCCCATAATAGCAGCACTCACGTCTGATGTGGAGAATTTGGACAAACCTGTAATAGCATAACATCCTGACCTTGACAAGTACATTTTATAATAGTTTAACAACTTAAAGATACCCAGTGCGGGCAGAAAGACACGTGCAGAGATCAGAGGCTGACTTTGTTACCGGGGGAGGGTAATCGTTCATAACACTGGCTTGTAGGATTTGTACATAATAAAGTGTTACATGATGCACAGTACACATGCTCTGTGGCTCTCTGCCCTGCTTTCAAAAAACAAAAATGTCCACGTCGGAGCTGATGTTTAATAAAGTTACATGTTTACAAATATATCTGCCCTTATTTTGACAACTAAACTGGATTTATGGGGAAAATAATACGTTTATTAATGTCAACCAGAGTGACTAAGAATTCGTCCAAGGACAGAAGTAGAACATCTTTATTTAAATAGATTGAAGAACACAACTAGTGAGGCAGTTTTGTCCTGAAGCCATATTTCAATGCAGAGTTCATTTGTCAGGGGAATATATTTAGCTCTCTGTTCATTTGTTTATAGAAGAGACAAATTTGGCTTTTCTGTCTCTTGGTCCTTCTTCCTTTTCCTCCACAGACAAACTTGCCCTGCCTCTTTTTCTTAACCATTTATGACATTTAATTGAAGTAAAAAATGACCTCTAAATTTACCTAAAGCCAAAATTGTCATCTCGATGTTTGTAGAAGCAACCTGATCTGTATTAAGTGATAATCAAGAAGAGAAAAAAACAAAAGTAAATATTGGGTCAGGTCTTCACAGTTGAATTAATTGAATACTTGCCTAATAAGCGAAAAGGTTTTTAGAAGTAATGTCTTACAAAATATGCTTTTCCATATTTCATAATGTCGTTCTCTACTCCTGAAAACTGTAGTGTGGCCCTTAAGGACAAATCACATGTCATAGTATAAGCACTAAAACTAAATCTGGAAATGCTACAAATAAAAAACAAAACATTTTAGGTCCTATTAGTTATTCCCTTTAATAGTTAATCTCTCTCCCCCCCCCCCCCCCCCCCCCCCGTCTCCCATGGAAGAAGGAGGAATTCATAATCTGTTAAGTATTCACAATTTTTGAATATTTTTCAACAATGAGACAAATTATATATTATAAAAATCAGTATTTACTTACATACCTTCATAACTATGTCAATAAGCCTTCTGCTGCTTTACAGTCAAACTATTGTAACTAAGTACTTCTGGCTACAGTAGCTTAGCAAGTGTATCCACTCTGCTCAGAGCTGC